GCCCATAAACACCATGGATGTAATTTTCCAAGCTTTGTGGACATTTTGCAGTAGGAAAAAGCATAAAAGAGAACAGCAACCAAAGCAGGCTGGGAAGGTTAACTGAAGGCGGAGTGTCACGGAGTCCCCGGGCGATGCTCTGGAACTGCTCCCCACAAAGCCAGTCAGGACTCTGGGGACCCTCCTCTCCCTTGGAGCAGACTGTCTTCAGGGCAAGAAGCTCACACGGGCTTCACCTCCTGGGTCTCTCTAGGGAGCATTCAGCCTATGCCCCTGTGTGCTTCCCATAGCGAGTCCACCCAGGCGGGGTCCTGGGGAAGCCAAAGGGTTCTGCACCCCCACTTCGCAGTCAGACGTGACTCTCAGCCAGCCAGTAAAACAGAGGTTTATTAGATGACAGGAGCACGGTCTAAAACAGAGCTTGTAGGTACAGCAGCGAAAAGGACCCCTCGGCCGGGTCCATTATGGGGTTCAGAGAGCCAGACACCTATGTCTGCCCTCACTCCTAGTCCCCAGGTAGCTCCAACTCTCAACCCCCCTCCAGCCCCTCCTTCTCTCGGCTTTATCTCTTTCCTGGGCCAGGAGGTCACCTGATCTCTTTGTTCACCTTTAGCTATTTCCTTGCAGGGGGGAAGGGGCCCTGGCCATTTGTTGCCATGAGACTCCACACCACTCCCAGAGTCCAGAATAGAGCCCAGGAGACCTGGTTCCCAGTCCCCCTGCTGGCTGCCTTAAAAGAACAAAAGGGAGGACCAGAGACAACTCTTCATCATGAACCTTCAGTCAAACCAATGGAGTGTCACAGAGATGGAGAATGCCAGAGAATGGCACTGTTCTCCTACAGCCCCTGTGGGTTCTGCCTGCGGGCCTCTTGCAATACCCAGATGACAGTAGCACAAGGAGCAATGAAGGGTCACCAACTCTTGGGACTCCATTTCCCACAATGTCCTGCCTTGTGAGCTGTGATCCACTCCAATCTCTCATGCTCAGCAAGACTGGGTGACCCCAACCATGTTCACTGTATTGCCCTGGGGGTGCCGTGGCACAGGGAGCAAGGCAGGGGATTAGCAGGGGGTGCTCTCCCCTGGCAGGCAGTGCTGGCTGCCATGCCCTGCATAGTGCTAGGGGGCGCTCTGCTTCAGGAAGGGGCGTGAGTGTCTCCTTATGGTGCATTGTGCTGCTGGACTTGTCAGCTCGTGGAAGGTGTGCAGAGAAGCTAATGACATGTAGGGTCGTTAAATACCCACTGGCTCGTCTTGTCCCCAAAATTCCCACCTCTTCTTCCACTGGGCACAGAAATCTCGCTCTCCTGAGCTCATGGATAAAGGTCTGCGCCTTTTTACAACAGCTCCGGTGTCCTACACTGTGGGGGTTGGATGGGTCAATCTTGGCTGGGATCGCTGCTCACTGACATGGCAGAAAAGCTGCTCTGCCCCACAGGAGGGGGGCTGAATGGAAGCGCTGGGTGTCACGTTCTGGGGTTTGATCCAAAACCACCTGCCCTGTAACTCTGGTGCCTTGAAATGCTCGGCTGCTACAGCTCCGTGTCTGCACATTCCCGGTGAGCAGACAAACATTTACTGAGTGTCTGTGATCAACAGCCCTGGTTTAGCAACACCAACTCCAGCAGCCTGCTTGGTACCTCCCATGCCCTGGTCCCCAGCAGCCTCGGTTACTGCTAGCCAAGAAACCCCAACATCCCCCTGGCCTGAATGTCCCTCAAACTGTCTGCCCTGAAATGTCCAGTCCTCTCCTGCAGCATCCAGGGAAATAATAAGATTCTCTTGCTCAGTTTAAGAGACAATCCCCAGCTGCTCCCCACATTAACTGGAGTTACCAGTGCCTTGAATTCAAACCAGCCCTGGGTTGGTTTAGATTGAAATAAACCAAGTTTATTAACAAGAGGCCATGGGTTAAGCGATGCCAAGTGAAAATAAACCAAGTTAGAGATGGTTACAAGTAAATCAAAGGGAAAACACACAGCTGAAAGGCTCAAACTCAAGGCAGCAAGGCACAGTCTGCGTTGAAGGTGATTTCGCTTTCCGGTTACTCTTGGTCTGGCCTGGGCAACAGGTTCTCGATCCTGACCTTCCTGGGAAGTGTGAGGTGCTGGTTTCCCTTGTTGTCTTAGGGGGAAGAGAATTTGGGGGTTCACTGTCCCTCTCTCTGTAGTCAGAGCCGGCTCTACTGTTTTTGCCGCCCCAAGCAGCGCACCGAATTGCCGCCGCAGATGGCGGGAGCAGTCCGTGTACCGTTAGGGAGGCACGCACGTTTCCAGGGCGGTGGCAATTCAGCGGCTCCTGTCTTCAGCCGGAAGACAGAAGCCGCCGAATTGCCGCCGCGGGCAGCTGAACATAGAAGCTGCCGCCAAATTGCCACCGCCGCGGAAATGCACGTGCCGTCCTAATTGCACACTGACTGCCCCTGCCACCCGCGGCGGCAATTTGGTGCACTGCTTGGAACGACAAAACCACATGGAATGCCGCCCCTTGCAGATTGCTGCCCTAAGCACCTGCTTGGAATGCTGGTGCCTGGAGCCGGCCCTGTCTGTAGTTCAGGAGAGCATGTCTCTCTGTGTTCATTGACACTGCTTCAGGAAGGAAGGTCTCCTGGGGGTGCCTTCTCCTGCCCTGTCCATAGCTGAGACGTCACCTCCTCTCCTTGGTGGCTCAATGGCTTTGTTTAACGCCCATGTACATCCTATTTCTTTTGTCACTGGTCACCTGGCTTCATTTCTATTCAAGCCCTGGGCAGACCTGGTTCCCCTGTGTTCAAATACAGGCTTTAAAACAGACTCACAGAGGTCGGCCATATCTCCACCTTCAGCGTTCTCACCTATACTCCACAGTGATATTATTGACCAGTGTGGTGGGAGTTTGAAATGATACCTCGCAAGGCAGAGTTTGTACACACGTCATTGCAACCTCTTGTACGGTGTGAATACAGGATTGTCTGGGTTCACACTGGGCAAGCAAATTCTGTGCACAAGGGTTGTGCAGCTGTGAAACAGTGGCCATGCCCCACCTCGGATACAGCTACATTTTGGTTGGTTGCTGAAGTGTTCATGGTTCCCACAGCCCTTTCAGATCCTGTGGATGTTTCTCAGTCCTCACACCTGGACTTTCCACCAGAACCTCCCCCTCCAGGCTGTAATTGAAGGGGAGAGATTGCAGATCAAACGGGTCACCTTGTGGAGAGAATCCAAGGCACAGAATGAAGGGCCCCCTTCCCAGAACACGCCAGTTACCTGGATCTAGAAGCAGCAGTGGGAGACGAGGAAGATGAGACCATTAATGAGGAAGAAGGAGCCACCCACCACCAGCTCCCGGACCCAGAGGAAGCTGCGAGCTGCAGAGAAAGGAGAAGTTCGAATGGAACCAGCAGGTTAACATCCCTGCTGAGCGCGATGCATATGATGTCCGTGTGCTTGTGCCTCTAAGACTTGTGATGAACTCCCCGGGATCTCAGGAGCCATCCAGCTGAGATGTGAAACCCACCCACAGCCCTTCTCTCTTACACTGGTGGACACCGATTCCTGATTCTTCCCATCTGTGTGTCTGTCCCTCTGCTGTCTGCCTGTCGTCCAGCACCACCGTGACCTGCCCTGTCCTCATTTGGCCATCAAGGGAACTGGGCACGAGTGTGTGGGGTTAGGAGGGTGAATTTGTCTGAGGAGATGTTAACAGCCAAGAGCCGCCTCACCTGACACTGTGACATTCCCGGTGACAGTCACGGCCCAGCTCCTGGGGGACGGGATCCATCTCCCGCCCACATTCTCCTCATACCCGCAGCTGAATTCCCCGGTGTTGTTTGAACTGTTCAGTGGGATTCTGAGCACAGAGGTGTTCATAGAGACAGTCCTGGGCTCTGTCGCGTTGATCTCAGACCCCACGTCCCCAGGGATGAGCTCGGCTCTGTCCTTGTAGAAGTGAAACCTCTGCTGACCGGTGTTCCGCGGGGCCGTGCAGGTGATGAGCAGGGGGATCCCTTCGCTCACCACTCCGGACGGGGGATCCACACTCAGTGCCGGCTGGGGAGGGGGATCTGTGGGGAGCAGGAAATGGGAGGGGTCAGCTGGGACATGGCAGTGGGTAATGTGGAGCTGGTGCCTAGAATTCCACTTATTCAGAGTTGACCTGTGTCCTCTCTCCAGAGCCTCTTGTTTCATCTCAGGATCCTGAGGGTCTCCCCCCAGAAATGAGTGAGAAGTGGGTTAGGGGGAGGGAATTTCGTCCTTCAGATATGGGTCCCAGATGTGGGATCAGAAGGAGGCCGGCGTCACCAGGACATGACTTGTTTTTTGTTATATCTCTGTTACTAATGTCCCAGCCCCTGATATTTCTGGAGCCCTCTGTAGATAGGGAGGGCCCAGGACATCTGGCGATCCCACCCCCTCTGGACATACTGTTTGAGAGCTGGGTGGCCCTGCTGGGATTCTACCGTCCCAGGGGGCAGAGGCGCAAGGCGGCCATGTTGAATATCCAGATCTGTATATTCTTGGGCTAGTTGAGCAGCCATATCTTGTGCTGCTGTCTGAAAGTCAGTCAGATTGGAGATCAGGCAGCTTCTCCGGTTACATAGACAGGCTGCTGCGGGGACACGGTGAGCTGGGGAGCTGGACGGGGGCTGGAAAAGACAAGGGGGTCGGGGGAGGAGATGGCTACTTGGACAACTGGTGACATAGAAGCAGAGGAAGGGCCAGTGAAGAGCAGAAGAGGGAGGGATCCTGGACACAGACTCCAGGCAGCCCCAGCTCAGTGCCCAGCAACCACGTCCCCGCCGGGCCATGCAAACACTGAGCAGCAGAGATCTCACTGCCGGGGAACCCCATGGGACCAGCGTCCCCTCCTTGGTACCTGAGGGGGCAGCTCCTGCCCAGGGCCAGCTCAGCCTGCAGGGACGGGGAGGGGAGGGCTTGTGCAGCTGAGACCAGGCAGTCAGGGAGCTGCCCCCAGCAAGCACAGACCAGGCTTCCTCATGCTAAAGGCAGGTGGCAGGAACATGCCCCAGAGTCCTGGTTATCCCTGGGGAGCATCACACATGTTCTTTGCTGAGTAGGTCATACTGATCACTGACCATGTTTGATGCCCAGGTCTGTGTCCAGGCTGGTGGAGAGGGACTGGCTCTTCCCACCTTGGATCTCCCAGCCGGATCGGGGTACCCGGTACAGACAGGTGCCGAACTCAGAGCCCCCCAGCTGTTCAATGCTCTAGGGATGAGTGAAGCTGTCCCTGAATGAGCCCCCAGCTGAGGTGCTCCATGCCCCCACCATGTTGAATTGGATCCTTCAGCTTTGTGACCCCAGGGGCAGCCCAGCATGTGAGGGGAACAGGTTCACTGGGCAGGTCCCCAGGGAGATCAGGACTCAGGGAGAGGGACGGGTCCGCAAGTGGGTCTGGAAAACAGGGGTCAGGGTTAGATACAGAAGGTCCGACCTGGCCGGGATCTCTGGAAGGCCTGGGAGGTGAGAGGCAGATGTTACCAGGTCAAATTCATCTGAGCAATTAGAGGGGGATGGAGACTTCTCCATGGGAAACTCCCTGTACCCCTGTACCTCACTGAGCTCCAATCCTGCACTGTGCCCACATGTTACCCAGCAGGAGACAGTGGATTATCCCTCTCCGGCGTATTGCTGCCAACGTGGGGACTGGGTAAGATGCCATTAACGGATCCATCTCTTGATGATAATCATGAATGAAGTGCTAGTTCTGGAGGCTTAGAATGGACAATGTAGCAAGCGCCCCAAAGCAGTGCCCAGGGCTGTGAGCTTCCCCAAAGCAGTGCCCTCCACATGACAAATTTACTGATCAGCTGGGAGCCTCTCCCTGCTGTTGGGGAGCCCAACCCGACCTGGGTTGTCTGGGGGATGTTTAGGTTGGATATTAGGAAAAACTTTTCACTAGGAGGGTGGTGAAATACTGGAATGGGTTACCTAGGGAGGTGGTGGAATCTCCTTCCTTAGAGGTTTTTAAGGTCAGGCTTGACAAATCCCTGGCTGGGATGATTTAGTTGGGATTTGGTCCTGCTTTGAGCAGGGGGTTGGACTAGATGACCTCCTGAGGTCCCTTCCAACCCTGATATTCTATGATGCTATGACACCAGGGCCTGACAGAGACCAGAGATAGGGGAGATTTGGAGTTTGGTTCATTAAACCTCCCTAAGTTTTCAAATGTTACAACTGACTGGCAGGCCCCGAATCCCAAAGTAGCACCTATGCCCCCTCCAAACACACCAGGGGATCCAGAGACCCAGGGAGTGACACTGAGCAGAGACGGGTTGAAACTGACCCGGTGGACGGACCCATCTGGAGCTGAGAAACTGAACTGTGTCACACCCGGTACTTGGAGCAGAGATACCCAGCCACAGGGTGAGCAAACAGCAGGAGATGGGGGTCTGAGCATGTCAGGGTCACAGATTCACCACTTACAAATATCAAGTACTGTGAGCTCAGTTTACATGCATCCGACGAAGTGGGTATTCACCCACGAAAGCTTATGCTTCAATACGTCTGTTAGTCTTAAAGGTGCCACAGGACTCTGTTGCTTTTTGTGAGCTCAGAGTGAGTTTGGGGGCAGATGGACGGACTGAAGCGGGGGGAGGGAGGATGGAGAGAATGTTCTTTAGAAATGACGTCCTACTCAAGTAAATAATAACCCCCCTCAGTATGAAATAAGTTCCTGCCCCCTCAGCCAGCCACACCCACGGATTCTCCCGCCTCCACTTCAACCCAAGCTCCTCTGAACAGTTTGCTCCCCTTCCAAAGGGCTCCAGCTGCTCCATTGGAATAGTGCCAGGGTGGAGGGATTGAGACCCATGAAGCGCACTGGGACCCATCCTATGGACCTGAGAGTGGGGTCCTTGAGTGGGCAGGTCTGGAGCCCAGGACAGGGGGGAACCAGGGTCTCTGATGCTCCCTCTTCATCACCAAGGGAGACAGATGAAGCAGCTGCCAGTAATGCTGGCATGTCAGGCCGCATAGGATGGCCTGACGGGAGACCCAAGGCTTGGGGTCACCTGATTGGCTGGCACCCATTACCTAAACCAGGAAATGACCTGGCTGAGGGCCGTCAGAGCAGCTGTGACATCCTGCTGCTGCGTGGGACCCTGCTCTTTGCCTGGCTCCTGAAATCTGCCTCCAGCCCTGTTCCTGCTCCGCTCCCATCCTGGTTCTGCCTTGCTCCGAACTTGTTCCTAGTTCCGGCCCTGCTCAGACAATCAGGCCAGACCACCTACGTCCTGGCTCCCAGCACCCAGAGGGGGGCAGAGGGATGCCCCATCACTGGTGATTTTTTCAGTCTGGACGAGGTGTTTTTTCTAATAGAGCTGCCCGAGTCCAAGCAGGGTTAATCCAGGGCTGTTTCATGGCCTGTGTTCTGCCGGGGGTCAGAGCAGACTATCAGTTGCCCCCTCTGGGCTTGGAATTGATGTTTCTATGATACTGACGAATGTTACAGTCCTGGCCCTAAATCTGGGTTTCAGTTAACACCCCAGGTGATCAAATCCTGATATGAACTGAAGCAACTTCTATTGATTGCCTGGGAGCTCCCCTTCTTCCCTCCCTCCCCATATCACTGCCAGCATCCCTCCCCCTGCACCTCCAAACTACCAGAGTGCCCAAGGACCCAGGGATTGGCAGTGACCAGACACCGGGATGAAACTGACCCAGTGGGTGCTCTTGTTAGGATATAGATATTCAGGACGGCCTGAAATATTGGAACGGCCTTCCGAGGGAAACCGTGGGGGCGACGGACCTGTCTGGTTTTAAGATTAAGTTAGATAAGTTTATGGAGGGAATGGTTTAATGGTAAAACATAGTAGCCAAGGAAAACCAAGCAATGGTACGTAAATAGTATAATGGCTAACAGGGTCAGGCTAGAGACTCTTGCCTACATGCTCGGGGTCTTACTGATCGCCATATTTGGGGTCGGGAAGGAATTTTCCTCCAGGGTAGATTGGCTGAGCCTCTGGAGGTTTTTCGCCTTCCTCCGCAGCATGGGGCAGGGATCACTAGCAGGAGGGTCTCTGCCGATTGAAGTCACTAAAACACAGGATTGGGGACTTCAACAGCAGAGTCAAGGAAGGGTAGGGACGGTTTTGTGGCCTGCAGCATGCAGGGGGTCAGACCAGATGATCATAATGGTCCCTTCTGACCTTAAAGTCTATGAGTCTATGAGTCTATGAGGACTGTCTGCAAAGGCCTATACTTTACAAATTAAGGTGTATTCCTATCACTTAGCTAATTATAGCGGTACAAAACAAGAATCAAAATCACTGTCTGCCTGTCTATGGTAGGGTTACCATATTTCAGCAAGCAAAAAAGAGGACGGGAGGAGCCCCGCCCCTGTCCTGCCCTAGCCCCGCCCTGCCCCACCCACTTCCCGCCCCCCTCAGAACCCCCAACCCTCCCCCCGCTCCTTGTCCCCTGACTGCCCCCTCCTGGGACCCCTGCCCCTAACTGCCCCC